GTTTGTTTTTTCTCATCATTGAAATTTGAGAATTGATTTAAAGAGTAACTAGGTAACACGGTTTGACATCGGTTTTAACATCTAACACGGTACATCTGCGCAGAATATTAGATCGATAAAAATAAATTATTGGGTTTGCTAATAATTTAGTTGACACTACTAAATATACCCATATATAAAAATAGCGAGTCCATTTCCAGCTAAGCGAATTATTGTTTAATTGCCACAAATATAATAGTGAAACAAATGGGAACGTCAATATATGTGCCCATACATAAAAACAGCAAGTCGATTTCCAACTAACCGAATCGCTATTATGTTGCCTCAAATATATATCTAATATTGTAACAAATGGTAAATATGCAATGCACGTTGATGCGTACACCATTATTATAAGTTTGTTCATTTTTAAATCTGATGCATTGAGAGTCTTTATACTACATTCACTCTTGTTATAAATGTTACCGTTCAAACTTGGGTTTAGTGATGATAATTTTAAATCTGACCAATTTAACTTGGATGTGCAGTCGGGTATGAATATAAATAAACGGTAAAAAAGGGAGGGGGAAGGGGAGGGGATTTTCCTTAAACCTAACAAACCGGAGGTTGTATTGGTAGTTTATAATTTATAAATCTAAACTTTTTTACAAACCACAAGTAAAACTAAAGCTTTATCATAATTTCAATAGGATTTAATATGCTGAATCAGCATATTAAATCCTATTGAAATTATCATGCATTAATTATTCAGTGTTTTACACTAAAAGTTTTCGTTTTTGTTGGTAACTGAAATAGTTATTTTTGATTTTAAAAGGTCATGTTTCACTGAATTTTTCAGATATAATTTTAAAATATAAATTTTTTGTTGATAACAAGTAAAAATTGAAAAAACGAAGGTGTGTGTGGGGGGGGGGGGGGTTAAGAGTTCTAATAAACTTAAGGTGGGTGGGAAAACTTTCTATAAATTTATAAACGTCCCCCTCCGTTGCATTAAGGACTTGAGAGTAGGTGGTTTTCAACCGACTAGTCTGTATTACTGTATGCTACAAAATAAGTTTTTTTTTTTTAAAAACTTTCTCAAAGTGTATACGTATTAAGTGTAGATATATTGAATAAAGACTTTGAGGTACTTTTTTTATGCTGTTTTTTATATTTGCCATAAACATATTGTATAAATAAATATTGGTCCGGTCAAAAAGAAGACACTGACTGTCTTATTATCGTCGTATCAAATTGAAAAGGTTGGGCATTCTTTATATTAAACAAATTATTAAAATCTAATCAAGTTATTAAAAACAGATATTTTTAAAATTTTTGTAAACACAGGTAAGATACTAATACACCGATAGTTACTTGGGTTATCTAACAAATTTTTGTATGATTTAACAATTGATATAATGATAGATGGAAACATTGATCTTGGAGTCAAACCATAGTTAATTAAGTAAGTAAAGTACTTTGAATTATGGGGTGTT